CTGGCAGGTGGTACGCGACCATCCTAGAAAAGTGGTAGCGGGGGAGGGGAATGAGCTGAACCGGTGGCAGCACCGCACAAGCCTGAGTGAGAGATGGCTGGAGCTGCAGGGCTGTCAAGCGGAAGCGCCAGGATCGGTGCTTCTTCGGGACTGTCAGGGCTCAGCGGAAGCGCCAGGATCAGCGCCAGGCTCCAGCTGGAATGCTGAGCCCAGAAGAAGCACCGATCAGCTGGAATGTTGCAGCATCTCCAGGGTCTTGTGATTTACATTCAGATGCTTGGCAACTGATTCATATTTATGACGGTCGCAGTGTCCCAGGGTCATGTGAAGTGACCAAAACCTGCTGCAACCACCCAGCAGACGGGGAGGGAATAAAAACCAAACACCCCCCACCCCACCCCTGCTGCCAATCCTCAACAGAAATGCTCACAACAATGAAAACCTCAGACAAGAGGAAGAGCACCGCCGGGCGGGCAGGCAGGTGTCTTGCTCGGCTGTGGCTTGGGGGGCACTTTTTTCAGTGCCATTGTAACTTCGAACAATCACTAAGCGAATTGTTGTAAGTCGAGGACTACCTGTATCACTTTTTTCCTTTTTTTTTTTTTTTTGGTCATCAAGTTTTTGACACCTTGCTAGGTGACTGGTGGTACTCAGATATTGCCATATTCCTAAAAGTGGTACAATGGGTGAAAAGGTTGAAAAGCCCTGATCTAGGAGAATAACAAAGTTGGAAGGAACCTTGGAGGTTTTCTAGTCCAAACCTTGTACTATTTCAGCCACATGGCTGTCCAATCTCTTCTTAAAAACCTCCAGTGATGGAGCAACTGCAACTTCTGGAATTAAGCCGTGCCACTGATCAATTGTTCTAACTTTCAGGAAATCACAGAGTTAGACCTAATAGACAAAGCAATTGAGCAGTGTTTCTCAATCTCAGCCCCATTAAGATGTGTGGACATCAACTCCCAGAATGGCCCAGCCAGCCTTTAAAAAGTAGCTCTTAGTTTTTGGACCTTCAACACATTTTATTTAATTCACCATTGAAACCTTTTAAACTGGCTCCAGGTGCTGTAAAATAACAGCCACCAGCTTTTAGATAAAACGGCTATTAACTTCTGCACTGCATGTGCATTTGGGGTGATAGAGGTCATCTCCCTGGCTGGAGGCTCTGTCTGATGAGAAAAGGTTACCTCTGCAGGTTTGGTTTACCTGCTCTATCTTGAAGCTAGAATTTATTTTCCATTCAGTTTGAAATTTTCTTTAACTAACTAGCATTTTATTCTCAACTTCCTATGCGGCATGGAGAATGAATGAAAATTTGAGGTGTTCAGAACGTTGATCGTTGCTCTTGCCAATACAGGAGGCATGTACACACCACAGATGGGCACATACAGCTAGATCAGTATTGCACAGAAGTGTAAAGAATTGTGGTGGTGCACTGGTTAGAATGCAGTATTGCAGGCATACTCTGCCGACTGCCAGGAGTTTGATCTTGACAAGGCTCAAGATTAACTCAGCCTTTCATCCTTCTGAGATTGGTAAAATGAGGACCCAGATTGTTGGGGGCAACAGGCTGACTCTTAAACCACTTAGAGAGGGGTGTAAAGCACTATGAAGCGATATATAAGTCTATCTACCTACCTACCATCCATCCATCCATCTTGCTCTAGTGGCATAATAGTTAGAATGCAGTATTGCAGGCTAATTCTGCTGACTGCCAGCAGTTCGATTCTCACCAGCTCCAGGTTGGCTCAGCCTTCCATCCTTCCAAGGTCGGTAAAATGAGACCAGATTGTTGGGGGCAACAGGCTGACTTCTATAAACCGCTTAGAGAGGGCTGTAAAAAGGACTATGTAGTGGTATATACAGTAAATCTAAATGTTACTGCTAAGTCCTATTGCTAATTACACCTCCTGGCACCTTCAGACTATGCAAGTACTCGCTTGGTACCAGATGTTGCTCCGCTGATCTGTCTTTTTGCTTTTAACTCTTGGTGCATGAGCCATAGCATCAGAAGAGGAACTGCAATCATCCACAAAAGGAAGGATCCGCAATCTGCATAGGGGTAGGTCTGGATGGGTGTACAACTCTGTTAGAGCTTGAAACACCTGCCTTTTGAGAACATAGCTTTTTATTCTCAAGACAGGAAATCCTCGACTTATAACCACTTGTTTAATGACTCTTCAAAGTTACAATGGCATTTAAAAAAGTGACTTATAACCCTTTTCTGCATGTTCCCATGTTGTTAAGCAAATCTGGCAGCCCCATTGACTTTGCTTGTCAGAAAGTCGCAAAAAGGGATCTCACACACACACACACACACACACACACGACACAAAGCTAAAAAGATTAAATGCTGCAAAGCAACCAGGGTACCTTGAAGCAACTCCATAGCCGAACAAATGCCAAGGGAGTCTTTTGATGAAGTATTTTACATTTTCTAAAAACCAAATTCAGAATCTCCAACCTGCCTTTTGTCTTTTTTCCCCCTGATGTAGACAACCACAGAGGTGGGAAAGACAGCAGAGACTGTTGGCAAAATGTGAGCTAAGGCCAGGAAGGGAAGAAGGCGATGGAAATTTAGTGATTCTACTTTGACAATCTTGGTGTGAGAGGGAGAAAAAAAAGAAACACTACCAGGCCTTCCAGTTTGTGTTACCCAAACCTATTTAGCAGAGTAAACAGTTGGAAGGGACCTTGGAGGTCTAGTCCATTCTCTGCTCAAGCAGGAGACCTTACACCATTCTGGATAAATGGTTGTCCAATCTCTTCTTAAAAATCTCCAGCGATGGAGCACCTACAACTTCTGAATGCAAGCCGTTCCACTAATTGTTGTCACTGTCAGGAACTTTCTCCTTAGTTCTAGGTTTGATCTCTCTTTAATGATAATAATATAATAATAATAATGGTAAAGTTGGAAGGGACCTTGGAGGTCATCTAGTCCAGCCCCCTGCTCAGGCAGGAAACCCTATACCATTTCGGACAAATGGCTGCCCAGTCTCTTCTTAAAAACTTCCAGTGTTGGAGCATTCACTGCTTCTGGAGGCAGGTTGTTCCACTGGTTAATTGTTCTCACTGTCAGGAAGTTTCTCCTTAGTTCTAGGTTGCTTCTCTCCTTGATTAGTTTCCACCCATTGCTTCTTGTCCTGCCTTCAGGCGCCTTGGAAAATAGCTTGACTCCCTCTTCTTTGGGGCAGCCCCTGAGATATTGGAAGACTGCTATCATGTCCCCCCTCGTCCTTCTCTTCATTAAACTAGACATACCCAATTCCAGCAACCGTTCTTATATGTTTTAGCCTCCAGTCCCCTAATCATCTTTGTTGCTCTTCTCTGTACTCTTTCTAGAGTCTCAACATCTTTTTTACATCGTGGTGACCAAAACTGGATGCAGTATTCCAGGTGTGGCCTTACCAAGGCATTGTAAAGTGGTATTAATACTTCACGTGATCTTGATTCTATCCCTCTGTTAATGCAGCCCAGCACTGTGTTGGCCTTTTTGGCAGCTGCAGCACACTGCTGGCTCATATTTAAGTGATTGTCCACTAGGACTCCGAGATCTTCCATCCTTTACTTCTTGTCCTGTCCTCAGTTGCTTTGGAGAATAGGTTGACACCCTCGTTCCTGTGACAGCCTCTCAAAGGATAGAAGACTGCTGCTATCATGTCACCCTAGTCCAGGGGTCTTCAAACTTAGTCCTTTTATGACTTGTGGACTTCAACTCCCAGAATTCCTCAGCCAGTTGAAGTCCACAAGTCATAAAAGGGCCAAGTTTGAAGACCCCTGCCCTAGCCCTTCTTTTCATTAAACCAGGCACACCAGTTCCTGCAACTATCCATTATGTTTTAGCCTTCAGTCATCATTGTTGCTCTTCTCTGCACAATTTCTAAAGTCTCCACATCTTTTTTGTGACCAAAACTGGACGTAGTGTTCCAAGTGTGGTCTTACAGAAGCAGTATGAAATGGTTCCATTATTTCTGTGATGTCTCTATCCTGATCTGGTGTAACCTGAAGTGTCGACACCCAGCCTGGTGGTTTTAGTATACTTCATCCTGTTTCATTCACTCAAACAAAGACTAGACAAGTTCTTGTGCATTTCAAATTTATTTAGTGCTCTTGGTGCCAAATTTCTAACCCTCCCCCACAATTTTACCACCATTTGTGCAAATTCTTTTCATAGACAGAATTCAGACTACAATAATAGTAGGTCTTAGTAGGCCTTAGTTGGCCCAAGTCTTTACTTTCAGAAGCTCAGACTAAAGTCAATACAGCTTTGTCTTTTAAACCAAATATACTGTGGAAAGGGGTTACAATCAAGGAAGAATTGCATCAGCAACGTTAAATGGTCCCGAATTTCTAACATCAAGCTTTATTTTGCACTGCTGTCGCCTTTGTATTAAAAGGGGAAATGATGCCCAGATTTCGATATCCATGAAATCCGACAAAGAATAGTGTTACAGAGTTAAGCCGTTTAGCTAATGACTTAATGAACATTATTATTTTGAGGCAGAAAATGTCAATAGTTTAACCAAAAATCCTCTGCACACATTACATGCTCTCTTGATGCAGCAATATCCGATGGAAATTTAACGTTACAGCGTCGCCTATGGTACTAAAGTGTTAAAGACTGCACCCTTCCCGCACCACAAATACAAATCAAGATTGAAACAAAACATTAAAAAAATTAAAAAAAATCTCCTCGTCAACCAAAACATGGTTAGCAAATGGAACAATTATAGTCTAAGGAGGACACAGAAATGAACCGGCCAACATAAAAAGCAGGAAGAGTTGTGAGCAACCTTTAGATCAGGGGTCTCCAACCTTGGCCACTTTAAGACTTGTGGACTTTAACTCCCAGAATTCATGCTGGCTGGGGAATTCTGGGAGTTGAAGTCCACAAAACTTAAAAGTTGCCAAAGTTGGAGACCGCTTGTTTAGATCACCTGGAGGTCTTCCAGGCAGTTGTGTGTGCCACGGCATTCTGGGAATTATAGCTCCTTCCGAATCTACATGCTTTGAGATACAAAATGCTGTTGTGGATTGGATGAGGTGACGTAGCTAACCTGCTGGAAATGGCTGGGGTTAACCGTGTTATGGATTCGGGCAGAGTTCCCATAGGATGCGTTGACCGGATACCATGAACCGACGCAGTGATATGTAGGCACAAATGAGACACAAGATTCGTATCCTGGCACAGGAGATGGGGTGTATGTGTCTGTTGTCACAGGGTAATAGACGGTCCCAGAAGGTGGTGGAGAGGATTCTGGGATGGCTAAGGCACCTGAAAAAGGGGAAAATATTGCATATAAAAGATCAGCAGAGGGTGCATTTCTTGGACTTTGAAAAAATTAAGTGGTTAAGGGCCTGGGCAGTGCTCTAATTATCAGACTGGTAATTGATTGTAAAGAAATGTTTGGAGTTGCTTGATTGACCTCTTTGAACCCAATTCAATATATTCTTTATTGACATCAATAAAGGTATCGTTTTAAAGGACTAAATCTAAGGCCACTGAACTAAACCATGGTTTGCATTGCTTTCTTACAGAAGAGAATCAATTAAATCAGTGGTTCTCAAGCTTTTCTTCACCCCGGACCTCCTTTAAATACCTTTTGTGCCCACAGACCCCCAAGACTTAACTCAAGATTTAAATCATGACATTTTTTTTCCAGCCTTCGTGGATGCCCAGGGATCCCCAGACCACAGGTTGAGAACCACTGAATTAAATCACATGTACAGATGTGTCAAGACCTCCATTGTCACCATCCCCAATGATACATTTATTCTTTTTCAGTACTTTTTATGCCACCAAGTCTTCTGAATCATGGAACCCTTTTCCAGAATCTGTCCCCGGCTTGTTTTTTTAGACCTTGCAACAGTGAATTGATTTATATATCGCCTTAATCAATTAACTACATTAGGTGGATTTACCTATCACCTAAACCCAGCAGCCTCTCCCAATTTATCAACTATCACTGCAGTTTGGACAACAAATTCCATCATCCTCCCCCTTGCTGCTGCAACAGCCATGCTGGGTAGGTTTGGTCCAGTGGTTAAGGCACCAGGTTAAGGCACCAGGTCCAGTTTGGTCCAGTGGTTAAGGCACCAGGCTAGAAAGTGAGAGATGACGAGTTCAAATCCTGCCTTAGCCAGGAAAACTGGCTGGCTGACTTTGGGCTAGTTACTCTCTCTCAACCCACCTTGCAGGATTGTTGTGAAGAAAACAGGAGGAGGAAGCTACATTTCGTGTGTTCGCTGCCTCGAGTTATTTGCAAAAATAATGAAGACTGGGTACAATAACACAAGTGTCCAGACAATATCAAGCTGGGTAAAAGTTGTAGTACAGGTAATACCTTGACTTAGAACCATTCATTTAGTGACAGCTCAAAGTTACAACAGCATTGAAAAAAGTGATTTATGACTGTTTTTCACACCTACCACCATTGCAACATCCCCACGGTCACGTGATCAAAATTCAGATGCTTGGCAACCGACTCGTATTTATGACGGTCGCAATGTCCTGGGATTGTGTGATCCCCTTTTGCAACATTCTGACAAGCAAAGTCCACGGGGGAAGCCGGATTTACTTAACAACCATGTTAGTTACTTAACAACTGCAGTGATTCACTTAACAACCGTGGCAAGAAAGGTCGTAAAATGGGGCCAAATTAAAAAAATCTTGCTCAACAATGCAAATTTAGGCTGACCAGACATACGTATTGCAATTTGCACGGCTGCCAGCTTTAACTACATAAAATCCCCATCACTTCCACGGCACCCCTTGCGTGGGACCATCCGTAACCAAAACAGAAAGCAAATTACTACGGCCCCTGTTACTCATATGTTGAAGCGTGACACTCCATTACTGCCACGCCAGAATTGCAAAGGAAGTAACGCAATTCAGCGATGCCCACGACTGAATCAATCTATGTTCTGGCAGGGTTTGATACGAACCAAAGACGCGTTAAAAGGACGGCGCTTTGCATGATCAGCCGTGTCACGTGTTGTGCCGCAGAATTGTTTTCCCTGAGGTTTTCTTAAAAAAAAAACAAAAAACAGAATAAAAGCTCAGAGCAGCTTCAAGGAATAGCTCCTGGGAGGAAAGGAAACGGTTCACTTTTCTTATATATATATATAAAAAATGCTATTTTTCACCACAGCTGTCTTTCCTTCCTTGCTCCTGAGGGAGAAAATATGTTCGTATTAATGCAAAGTCTGGAAAGCAGCATTATTCAAATTGGAAAGTGGCAGACTTATAACTGGATTATTGAAGGAATCTATAATCCAAAGATCAGGATAACTGAGGAGCTTACGTCTTTCCCTAGCTAGCCTACAGCAGGCAGCGCTCGGCTGACTCCAACTGAGGTTCAAAAACCATACAGGAAGCACAGGTAATCCTCAACGTACGACAACAATTGGGCCCCAGATTTCTGTTGCTAAAGGAGACCGTTGTTAAGTAAGCTTTGCCATCCAGTTTTGGTCACCACGATGCAAAAAAGATGCTGAGACTCTAGAAAGAGTACAGAGAAGAGCAACAAAGATGATTAGGGGACTGGAGGCTAAAACATATAAGGAACGGTTGCTGGAATTGGGTATGTCTAGTTTAATGAAGAGAAGGATGAGGGGGGACATGATAGCAGTGTTCCAGTATCTCAGGGGCTGCCCCAAAGAAGAGGGAGTCAAGCTATTCTCCAAAGCGCCTGAAGGCAGGACAAGAAGCAACGGATGGAAACTAATCAAGGAGAGAAGCAACCTAGAACTAAGGAGAAACTTCCTGACAGTTAGAAAAATTAACCAGTGGAACAACCTGCCTCCAGAAGTGGTGAATGCTCCAACACTGGAAGTTTTTAAGAAGAGACTGGACATTCACCTATCTGAGATGGTATAGGTTCTCCTGCTTGAGCAGGGGGCTGGACTAGATGGCCTCCAAGGTCCCTTCCAAGTTCTTCATCATCATCATCACCATCACCATCATCACCATCACCATCACCATCATCACCATCATTATTGTTGTTGTTATTATTATTATTATTATTATTATTATTATTATTATTATTATTATTATTATTATTATTATTATTATTATTATTATTATTATTATTATTATTATTATAGTTGTTAAGTGAATCTAGCTTCCCCATTAACTCTGCTTTTCAGAAGATTGCAAAAGGGGACCCTGTCATAAATATGAACCGGTTGCCAAGCGTCCCAATTTTTATCACCTGACCCTGGAGATGCTGCAACAGTTGTAAGTGTGAAAAACGGTCATGCTGCTGTAACTCTGAATAGCCACTAAGGGATTGGTGGTAAATGGAGGACGACTTATGCTTAGATGAATCTCACAACTGGAGACGACACAGAACAAAAGAAAACGGCAAATTGCTTCTGTCTTGTTGCATGTCTATGTCCTAATAAGTCATCAGGAATTGAACTAAGTATGTTTATCCCTTTAAAGCAGGGTTCTCCAAACTTGGCAACTTGAAGACTTGTGGACTTCAACTCCCAGAATGCCTCAGCCCCTTCTGCCAGAGACCCTCAGATCTGTCCCACTCCTGCCCAGGCCCCCACAGGCACCCTTGACGCGAACGATGTAGAGCTGGCCATGCCCACCCAGTAGGCCACACCCACTCCATCCACACCCACCCAGTAGGCCACACCCACCCTGGCCACACACACCCAGCCCCCCCAAGGGCAACCGTGATGCTGATGCGGCCCTCAATGAAATTGAGTTTGACACCCCTGCTCTAAAGTGAAATAAAATACTTACTCTATCATTAACAAAATTACTGAATTGTGCCACAAAGGAGATTAAAAAAAAAACCAAGCAGGTAATCAGATTCGCAAATGAATAATTAAGTCTTAGCCTCAACATGGGCCATTCATCGGTCTGGCTGAACGCTGAAGCTATGAATGTACCGTTAGTCCCCTCGACATATGATCACAATCACAGAATTTCCATTGCTAAGCAAGGGGGTTAAGTGAGTTGTACCCAATTTTCTGACCTATTTTTTTCTGTCACGGTTGCTAAGCAAATCCCTGTAATTGTTAAGCAACACACACGGTCGTTAAGCGAATCCGGCTTCCTCCATTGACTTTGCTTGTTGGAAGCTGGCTGGGCAAGTTTCAAACGGGTGTTTTACATGACACCAGTATGGTGCAACAGGTGTAAATACACGCCCATTGCCAAGTGCCCAAATTTTGATCATGTGACCGTGGGGATGCCTCAATGGCTATAAGTGTGAGGACCAGGTATAAGTCACTTTTTACAGTGCTGCTGTAACTTTGAATGGTTGCTAAATGAAAGGTGGTGAGGACTACCTGGATCTAAACTCTGTTTTTTAAAAAAAGGCCCAGAAATCATTTTGAAAGTATTGAATCTGCCATGCCAAATTGAGCTCAGTGACACCCAGATCAACCTTCTGAAGCAACCACTACACAGAGACCAACCAGTTGACGAGGAGTCTGCAGGCATCTGGCGCACATCATTCCTCCCGACGTCGTTGTAAGGCAGAGGCGCTGATGAATCAACCACAGAGACTTGCTCTGAATAGGTCTGGTAGGTTTCCATTTGAGGTGGTGGGGACGATGGTTGCTGTACATACATCACGTGGTTCCAGCAGGTCTGGTGGTAATACTAGCACAATTCAAGGTGAGAAAAATCAAGTTTTAACTAGGTGAGTTACTGCTGCCCAGACTGACAAAAGTAGCTGTTGAAATCTGCCCATTTAGATCAGCTTCAGAAATGCCATGTGTAGATCAACTGTTCTGGATCAAGGGCAAAACACAGCTTAATCCTTAATCAGCAGACCATTTAACAGGAATGCATTGTTCTAAAGTGTGGTCAAGCTGTTTAGTGGCTGCCTAAAACCTAATTCTTTCCAAACTGAATTTTCACAGAATTCTCTTACACAAGATTTATTGAGATGGGAGAGGTATTGTTGCAGGAATTCCAGCAATGGAGCTATTTGCTGTTTAGAAACAATCTAGTTATTACTTATAATAACCACCATGGTGGCCCAGTGGTCAGAATGCAGTATTGCAGGCTAACTCTGCTCACTGCCAGGAGTTCGATCCCGACTGGCTCAAGATTGATTCAGCCTTCCATCCTTCCGAGGTTGGTAAAATGAGGACCCAGATTGTTGGGGGCAACAGGCTGACTCTGTAAACCACTAAGAGAGGGCTGTAAAACACTATGAAGTTGTATATAAGTCTATATAAGATGAACATCCAACAACTGAAAGAAGCTGTTCTTGATTGGGTAGCATGCCTATAAAGTCGCCAAGTGTTGGATATGACTAAATGATGAAAACAACAACAAAGGCGCAGAAATTATTTTTCTGTGCTTTATGCGAGGGACAAATAATGCAGGAGAAGAATGGGAATCTATTTCTTGTGTAAACATTAACAAAAAGAGAAAGTGGGTATGCCCTGAGGAAGTAATATAACTCTTGTCATACCCATCAATGCTGCTTCTCTTACAATCTGCTTATCAGCACCGATAAATATTTACCTAGCTAGAGAACAGCAGCTTAGGAAGTCAGCATGGATAAAAGCAATATATTTATAATATTTTAAGAAAAGTTCCGGGTCTTGTGCAGACGTCAAGCAAAGGATTCCCCATCCGACTTCAGAAAATTCTGAAAAACATCTGCGTCTACCAAAGACTGACATCCCACTCTCACAAAAGGTGGTTGTACCACTAGACTTTTATTGGGCACCTACCTGCAAGCCCAGATTAAAATAATACTGCAAAACCTTTGGATCTAAAACAAAGGGGAAAAAAACTTGGTCACTGCATTTCATACAGATCCTTATAAAAAGGTATGAATATTTGCATTTTTCTCATGTTTGCCCACCAATCCGTATCAAAGGACTTACAGATATTTGTCTCCCACATAGCATTTAAATATTAATTTACTAAACAACTGTGGTTAGGAAAAGAAAGTCAATTTTAGAAAAATCCATTAGTTTGATTAATTCTGCCCTGGGAGAGAGCACTGTGGTACTTTTGTAGCTGTACCGGAAAATTCAGGTAGTCCTCGGCTTATGACAATTGAGATCAACATTACCCTTGCTAAGCAAGGCAGTTGTTAAGGGAGATGTGACCGATTTGACAATGTTTTTCCCATGGTTGTTAAGTGAATCACTGCAGTTGTTAAGTGAATCCAGCTTCCCCCTTCAGCAAAAGAGCAGATGTAGTTCTCATATGCAGGTGGTCCTCGACTTAACAACCACGATTGGGTCTCTGCTGATAAGCAAGGTAGCTGTTAAGTCACGCCCAATTTTGCCACGATTGTTAAGTGCATCGGTTGTTAACTGAATCATGCGGCCATTAAATGAATCCAGCTTCCCACACTGACTTTGCTGGTCAGAGATTGGCTGGGAAAGTTGCAAATGGGGATCTCATGACCCCGGGATGCTGTAACTGTCATCAATACATGCCAGTTGCCAAGCAACCAAAATTTGATCACGCGACCATGGGGGATGCTGCAATGGCTGTAAGTGCTGTCATTAACTTTGAACGGTTGCTAAACAAATGGCTCTAAGTCGAGGACTACCTGTACCCAGGAGAGGTACGCACGACACCAGATCAGCCAAAATCTGCAAAGTGTAAACTCTCAAGGAATAAAAACAAAAAAAGAAATGTTCGTAACACTTAGAAAAACAATTGCAATTGACAGCTAAATTTCCCAGCTCAGCTTCTCACAGGGCCACAATTTTTGCGATGAGATTCAAAGCCAAATGCAAAATTTAAAACAGAGGAAAGAGGGGGGGAAATGATTATGCGCCAACAGTTAGGACAGATCACAGCATGGGAAAAATACATTATTGAGTCATCCTTCTGCAATCTATTTCACACCTTTTCTTTTGTATACTTTGCTTTTAAACTATTGAATGTTAGCACTGCCTGTCCTAAATGTTTATGTAACACCACAAATTAGCAGAAGCACAACGAGAGGGAAGAAACTGAATAGCCCGTTTTCCTTTTTTAAGTTGTTGTCGCCTGTTTTGCTTTTGTGTAGTCGCTGTTTCTTTCGCAACATGCACAAGCAACAATAAGGAACAGTCTAGTGGAAACCTTAGCGTTAAGTATTCAGCTGAAGATAGAAACCTTTGAGGTACAATAAATACATTGATGTAGTTCCCAGCTGCTTATTAAGGTGATACTCAGCTTTGGATGTAAAATCTAACTAATGCTATACTTATTAACACAAACACTTCAGAGCACGGTCAGTACCATACCTTTTTTAAAAATTTAACACAACATACAACATACATTCTATTTGCAAATTATACTTATATTTATAAACATCGACATTTCAAGCGTGGTCAGTACTGTGATACCCTTTTAAAAATCTAACACAGCACACAACGTACCTTCTCTTTGCAAATATAGAATTGAGGCAAGCAGATAGTCCTGTACCTGGCTTCCCATTTATTTTGATTACAGCCAATTCCTGACCCACTCTGTGCAGCTAGCCCTCAGCGTACAATGGCAATGAGGATCAGAACTGCCATCGCTAAGAGACCCCGCTAAGGTCCCTTCCGGGATGCTGCTTGGGAATTGAAGATGTTTCTGTATTGTTTCTGCTTTCACTCTGATGTTTCTGCATGGGAATTGGGGAGGGGGCCATCTGGTTTGACTCCTTTCCGGCTAACTCCTGCCTCTTACCAAGGTCCCGGCCCCAGAGAACAACTTGTTATCACCTTTTCGGCTCAGAGTTCTCGCAACAACTTTACGCAAGTTGACTGGCTCCGGATGGACTGGGGCAGGGGTAGGCAACCTTGGTTCTTTTATGACTCGTGGACTTCAACTCCCAGAATTCCTGAGCCAGCCATGCTGAGGGGAAAGGGAGAGGTTTCCAATCTGAGCCATGCTGGCTCAGGAATTCTGGGAGTTGAAGTCCACGAGTCATAAAAGAACCAAGGTTGCCTACCCCTGGACTGGGGCAATGAGGCGTTGTTGGACAATGGGAAATTAATTTCATTAATTTTTGTGCAGGAATTTCAGATTCCGCCTGACCTCTCTGCAATCCCTGTCTGTCAGTCAAAGATCCTTTGGAAACAACGCTCATTTCCAAGAGTCACGCTTTCCCCAGGAGATAGCTGAGGCAGGTCCTTATTATCTGAGCAGGCTCTTTTTAAGCAAAGGAGCGCATGGATTGTCAAGCGAGGACCTCTTGTGATTGCAACCTCTGACTTCCCGTGGGATTTCCCTCTTGACTTTGCTCCTGGGATGCTCTCAGGGAAATCACAACCAGAAATCGCAACCATGTTGACTGTGGGGATGCCGCAACGGCCAAAACTCTGACGAGCGGTCATAAATACCAGTAATTCAGCACTACGGTAACTTTCAAGTCGCTGAACTAATGGTCATTACCTCACTATTTGCACACTTCAATTGGATGACAACTCTAAAATCATGGAGTTCCTACTAAAACTCTAGTCTTCTTTGCAGAACAGCCTCAATGTTTGTTTGTTTTGGGGGGGTGGATTTGGAAAAGAAAGAAACATGTAATTAGAGCTCACTTTCCTAATCCATTCCTCCTATAATGTGTTTGATGTATAGTTTCTTACACCAGGGAAATTCAGAGAGTACCAACACCAGGCTTAGAGAGAGACACAGCCAGTTGATCTGTTTCGATTTGTATTCCAAACACTTGGATTCATCCATGATTATGTTTCCCTTGTCAAAGCAGTTAAGCAAAAGCACATTTAATATGACTACATATCTTAAATGCATACTCTTACAAAAAATATGCATTTAAAAAATATTTTGAAACATTTCTCCGAGCCAAAATAACTGAATCAGAGGTTTCTGGCATTCAAAACCTGCCAGATAATGAAATCCCACGTTGTCCTTTAATCTAGATAGTCCAAACTAGTTAAAGCATATAATAAAATGTAATTCCATAAGCATCTCTAGAACCGATTCATTTTACGCAGCTAAAATTACTCCCACGTGTCAGAGAAAATAATATCTTACCTCTAGGCAGGTCATTTCCACTTGGATCACAAGAATAAGGGGGTGTGATACTGCCATTTTCCCCCACGTCACTCACCGGAGGAAGGGGAGGTGACTGATACACTGACACAACTATTTAAAAAGTGGGGAGAGAAATGTTAAGTTAATTCCAAAAGCAGTGGGATCCATAAAACAGACCTTAACCTTTATGCAATGGATCCATTGGGAAAATCTAATCCCTCTCAGTGTTCCCAAAATTAATTTAAACTGGGTCAACAATCCAAGTCAAACTGAGAACCTAAACAGATCTGATTTCACTGTCTCTGCCAAGTATCTTCTAAAATGAATGAATGAATGAATGAATGAATGAACCTTTATTATCAAAGTACAACATGTATACAATGAGATTGGCTGAGCCTCCCTCCGTGCCCCCCCCACAACTCACAGTGACTACAAACTACAAATATGGAATGAAGTCAAAATTTTGCATGCATAGAGGAAAAAACACAGTATAACCAGCTCCTTAAAAGGCCTCCATTCTGAAGGATTTGACTTAGAATCATAAGGTTGCAAGAGACTTTTGAGGTCTTCTCACCCAACCCTTGACAAAGGGTTGTCCACCTTCTCTTGAAAACCTCCAGTGATGGAGCACCCACAAGCTGTTCCATTGATTAATTGTTCTTCTTCCCTGTAACCTTACTGCCTAAATACATTTGACTCCTCCAGAGGATCAAGTGAACTTACTTCAATGCCATCTGAGGGCTAAACAACTATTCTGATTCAAAAGCCACCAGGTGGCCAGGAACCATAAACTCAAAGCGTTCTCCAGAAATTCCTGAAATGAAATGAATACTCTTACCTGGTCTTCCCCCAGAAGGAGTTACTAAGATTGGTGGCACTGCATTCTGGGGGGTAGATGCAGTGATAGTGACTTGAGTTGAAGCACTACAGGATGACGAGAAAATGGTGGCCGGAGCCGAATTCACACAGGAGGCACTGGATATAATGGCAGAATTTACCATGACCTATGAAAGAGAAGCATCTTTTTGCCAAATGGTGAAATTCAAGCACAAAACACAAGGCACCCCAGAACCAAATGATTTTGCATATGAAGTATCTTCTGATGCAGTTAACAGATTTCAATTTAAGTATTGGGATGCAACGATAAACTTTAGTTTAGCATTACCAGCATGCGTGGTGAGTGTAAATAAGCTGTGTATACAATTAATAAATAAGCAATTCTTATAAGAAACTAATAAATAATTAACGGGCAAAAATTCACTTCTAAAGCTCTTATCTGAATGCCACTATGGACCAAGGGACTTTTATTTTAAAACATCCTAAAGTTTATCAGCCTGATGCAATATGAATTTTCCGAGGCAAATTACACAGATGTCTGCTGTAAAAAAAAAAAGCACCGTTTCCAATGAAATGCGATACAAAACATTAGCAATTTTTCTATTTTTCTTCCAACCACTCTGGCCGTTAAGAAGTCACCGTGGTTGTATAAATGACACAGGTTTGAAGCAGCTGAGTTGGGAGGGGGCTAGGGTTGCTGAGGAAGAGACATACGTTACATTTGGTCTTTGAATGATATGGCAGAGAAAGTAACTAAATCCTATGATCAAAAAAATTACCGTGATTAATCCCCTTGAAGATAATATCTTTCTCCTAAAATCGCATTAAACACTGAAGCGGTGTTTCTCAATTTCAGCAACTTTATGATGCAGAATTTTCCTGCTAGCAAATGTTGGGAATTGTAACAGAATAACAGAGTTGGAAGGGACCTTGGAGGTCTTCTAGTCCAACCCCCTGCTCAAGCAGGAGACCCTAGACCATTCCAGACAAGTGGCTGTCCAGTCACTTCTTGAAAACCTCCAGAGTTGGAGCATTTACAACTTCTGGAGAAAAGCCATTCACTGTTGGGAATTTTCTTAGTTCTAGGTTGCTTCTCTCCTTGATTAGTTTCCATTTATTGCTTCTTGTCTTGCCTTTTGGTGCTTTGGAAAATAGGTTGACCCCCTCGTCTTTGTAGGAGCCCCTCAAATATTGGAACGTGTCTATCATGTCTCCCCTAGTTCTTCTCTTCACTAGACTAGACATACTCCATTCCGGCAATCACTCTTCACGTGTTTTAGCCTCCAGGCCCATAATCATCCTTATTGCTCAACATATTTTATATAATACGATCCACATATCTTAAAGATGTTGAGGCTGAGAAACTCTGCACTGGAGTCTTGAAGAAAACTTCTGGGAGAAATTCAACAGTGAATTTCCATTTGAGTTAGCTAAATGTTTCATTTCTTTTATCAAAGTTAAGTTAAAACGTATGTTTTATGAACACTTTGGGGATCTTCAGGACCGTGAAACTCTTCTCGACACCAAGTTATGTCCTCAGAAAAATTTACCTTCTGAGAGTAACTGAAGGAGGTAGCTGCTTTCTGAGAAGAGACACAATTTGTTCCTGCATCCTGCAGAGACTACACCAGGGGTAGGCAACCTTGTCTTTTATGACTTGTGGACTTCAACTCCCAGAATTCCTGAGCCAGCCATGCTGAGGGGAAAGGGAGAGTTTCCAAGCTGAGCCATGCTGGCTCAGGAATTCTGGGAGTTGAAGTCCACGAGTCATAAAAGAGCCAAGGTTGCTTACCCCTGGACTACACCATTCATTTAAAAAAGAAAGAGTGGGAGAAACGAGAATCAACCTTATGCTATGTTATTAAAGGGTCACTTGGGCTAATGAAAAACAGGAGCTATTAAATGAGTGTTCAGAGAGATGAAAATGGCCAAGTCTTTGAATTTAGACATCCTGTGCCAAACTCTGAATTTGGTTTTCTGTCGAATTCCATTATCCAAATCCACCTCAAGACAAGGATTTGCATCCCAATCTTCAGCTACTTCCAAACCATGGTTTCTGTAATCCTGTTTTGCTCAAACTGGTGCCATTCAAATGTTCTGGACTTCAAGGCCTATGATTTCCAGAGAACATGCATATCTAGAAGGCAATAGGTCAATAAAGTCTTGAGCCCAGAAAGTACCTCAGTAGGCAGTCCCAGTGAGGTTCTTTGAACTATGTGGCATCCATGGTGCTCTCTGAGCTTGTTTTCTTGCAGACATTTCATTACCCAAACTTAATAACATCTTCAGTGCTAGCACTGATGATGTTACCTAGTTGGGCCATGAAACATCTGCAAGGAAACAACCAAGCTCAAAGAGCATCAAGGACCCCTTCATTTCAACCCTGAGCTACAAATAGTCTCCTTTAGTTATATCTTTGAACTATGGAGCAGCATTTCATCTCCATCACAACCCAACGGTTATATTTTTGTGCTAAACTAGGACCATAAGAAAGGCTGAGCGCCAAAGAATGGAGGCCTTTGAACTATGGTGCTGGAGAAGACTCCTGCGAGTCCCCTGGACTGCAAGACGATCAAACCGGTCAGTCCTAGAGGAGATCAACCCCGACTGCTCTTTAGAAGGCCAGATCCTGAAGTTGGAACTCAAGTACTTTGGCCACCGAATGAGAAGGAAGGACTTACTGGAGAAGAGCCTAATGCTGGGAAAGATGGAGGGCAAGAGAAGAAGGGGACGACAGAGAAGGAGGTGGCTGGATGGAGTCACTGAAGCAGCAGGTGTGAGCTTCAATGGACTCCAGAAGATGGTAGAGGACAGGAAGGCCTGGAGGAACGTTGTCCATGGGGTCACGATGGGTCGGACATAACTTCGCAACTAACAACAACAAAAGTACATTTATCATGTGAGCTAGCTTTGGAAGCCACGTGCAGGGAGGAAGAACAAGATGTATCAGATTGCTTTGCTGGCAAGTTCACTGGCCACAACTGGACATCTCGCTTTTAAACAGAGAAACATTCAGAAAAGTGGAGCTAAACTCTCAGACAGTAAATTAGCCAGCAGATCAACAAAATTGCTATTATACAGGTAGTCCTCAACTTATGAAAGTATTTGAGCCCGGAATTAGAGTTGCAAGACTTTGCTGTCATTAAGAGGGTCACCATGTGATATGCTAATTTTATTATATTTTTCATGGTGGTCACTAAGCGATGGTAGTGTCATTAAGTGAATCTGTTTTATCCAAATAGACATTTTTTTCCTATAAGATCTAGTGTTTCTTTCCCTCACTCTTACACTGTTTAACACTTTTTGTTGCAGATGATATAACATTCTTTAATACATGAGGTTAACAAATTTCCGCTTCATAATTACACATAAAAACCATCTGGCTAAGAAACAGATTAGTGTTTTAAGCTGTATGATTAAGATCTTACCATTGCTAACAAATCCAATAAACACACAGGCTCTCCCATTTTGTAAAATGTTAAAATCAAATTATCATCTGCTCCATAAGTCAGACCCAAAAATGAGACCAATAATAAAAATCCCCAACCAACCAGGTTCTGCTTACTGGAATGGTAGCTAAGGACACCATTTTGTTATCTTTAGAACAGGCAGTGAGAAAACAGGCTTGTTTATGGTTTGTGAGGCCAACATAATCTGATTCCTTGACCAAGATGTCTTTCAACACAGAATGGGACAACTTGGTACAGCCAGCTTGCCACGGCTAACTCACCACCACCAAGTTGTTGTAGGACAACTCAACATGGCCTATTCACTCTTGGGGCAACTCACCAAGGGTGGTTGGAGGGAGAGCCAGGCTGGTGGGTGAGTGAGCAGGTGGGCACCGTGCAGAGCAGCAATGATGGCTGGGGGCTTCCCACCACAGGGAGAGCCAGGTGGGCAAGTGAGTGAATGTGGAGGGAGAGCCAGGCTGGTGGGGGAGTGAATATGTGAGCACAGTGCAGAGCAGCAGTGGTGTTCAGGCCGTTTGGCAGCGAGTTGTCCACACAGCAAATTGGCTGCGTTGAATTGTCCGACAACTTGGCAATGGTGAGCTGGCAGAGGTGACTTGATGGTGATGAGCTGGCCACAGTAAGCCGATCATGCTAAGTTGTCCTAGACCAGAGGTAGGCAACCTTGGCTCTTTTATGACTCGTGGACTTCAACTCCCAGAATTCCTGAGCCAGCCGTGCTGAGGGGAAAGAGAGAGGTTTCCAAGCTGAGCCATGCTGGCTTAGGAATTCTGGGAGTTGAAGTCCATGAGTCATAAAAGAGCCTACCCCTGTCCTAGACCCTTTCCAACATTAGCAACTGAGTCACTACTAAGTTGGAAAGCTGACAACTATTTTGCACACCCATCACCTGAGCAAGCACCATTTTCATTATTTTGGGCAGATAGGTAGAAATTTGCCCAATTCAAGGACTACTATCACAACAGGTATTATATGACAGTGCCAAGGTTGGAAATTGCTTTCATATCTCCTTTGAGGTGCTAACAGGTTCTGAACGTGCTAATTTCAATGTTCTTACCAAATTTGCAGTGGATTCAGTTGCATTAAATACTGTAGTTGCTTCACACTCTGGGTCTGGAAAGCAGGGAGAAATATGATGTTGAAAGCACCAGTGATTATTTACTAACAAAAACAATCAAATTATGAAGCAGACTTTTAGAGAAAGACTGTAGTCTCACCTGGAGGAGTATACAGATAATCTTCTTGGTATTCTCCTTGAAAAGCAGAAGGTAAGTGCACTATTAGAGACACATATCGGAAGTAAATCTCATGTAAAATAAACAATTCCAAGAGAAAGGATGAAAACCTAGCCTTACATTTTAGAGTCATGTAATTATGCAAAACTCTTTATACGAATTTCTCCCCGTGCCTTAAGCTTCAAATTCCACAATCCCCAAATTGCAATTCTGATTTGAGAATTCGGGAGATCAAAAGGCTTAAACCATGGAATAGGGTAACAACATTTGTCATACTATTGTTTCGTTGTTTTTTTTTAATCTGTGCAAAACATTCACCAGATACAAATTCAGCAAAGTTCAAGTTGCTATGTTGGCATCTAACCAGTCTATATAAAACCCCACAAAAATAACTAGATGTAGCCAAAAGTTTTAGGATAGCATATTTGCTGGAAAGAAGAAACCTTTTCTCCAAGGACTACAACAGACCTATGGCCACAATTGAGCTCGACATAAATTGTCAATCAACCTATAAAATCAATTCAAAATAAAAGTGAGCTTCTAAACGCTTAGAAAAACATGCAAGGATCATGACTGCAACGTACTTCAAACGTTTGGCATAGTTATCAATTTTGGAAAGGTAACAGATGCATCTGAACTTATTAACATTCAAGCTATGGCAGGTCTAGAATCTAATTGAGAACACATTTTTTGAAATAATGAAAAAAACCACTGGTGCCTGCAATTGTACATACTGAAATTTTCAGATCGCATCCATTCTGAAAAATAACGGCATGTTCCATTTCAAGCCGGGAGGCTTCTGCGAAGAATTTTTTAATGACTTCTTAAAAAAACTCCTAACCAATATCCCAAACTTTATGAAGGAAATGAAGCAGTAACCCTGGCAGAAGGCCTAATTTTGCTTTAACAGTTATGAGCTGGCACAATTCACGAAGGTTCTCTTGAAGTTGGTAAGTCTGAACAGTAAGATCCTGGACTTACAAATGGTTGCTTAGCAACTATTCAAAGTTACACCCTACCTGTAATAGAGAACTTATAACTGGGATCTGAAGATCCGACGGGCGCTCCCCTTATGGTCACATGATTTTACTTTGGGTGCTTCGCAACATGGACATTTGAAGCACCCCACGATCATGTGAGTACGTTTTACAACAGTTTTGCTGAAAACCGATAGTTACTTCCAGATTTCTAAAAAAACAAAACACCTGTGCCCATAGCAAACCATTAGTTCGCATAACAATCACGGTGTTTGCTTAACAGCTGTGGCATTCACTTCACAACTGCCACAAAAAAATGTCGTAACATTGGAAGTACCTGTCATTTATGACCATTACGATTTACCACCATAATGGGACAGCTCCATTACAGTTGTAATTTGAAGACTACCTGTATAACTTACAAAGCAGAACGAGTTGGAAAGGGGTGGCGCAGTGGTTAGAATGCAGTACTGCGGGCTAATTCTGCTGACTGCTGGCTGCCAGCAGTTCGGCAGTTTGATCCTGACTAGCTCAAAGGTTGACTCAGCCTTCCATCCTTCCCAAGATAGTAAAATGAGGACCCAGATTTTGGGGGCAATAGGCTGACTCTGTAAGCTGCTTAGAGAGGGCTGCAAAGAACTGTGAAGCAGTATGGAAGTGCTATTCCTATTCCTATTCTATTACCCTACCCTACCCTACCCTATCCTTACCTGGTGGTGCAGTGGTTAGAATGCAGTACTGCAGGCTAATTCTGCTGACTGCCAACTGCCAGCAGTCCAAAGGTTGACTCAGCCTTCCATCCTTCCGAGGTCAGTAAAATGAGGGCCCAGATTGTTGGGGGCAAGAGGCTGACTCTGTAAACCGCTTAGAGAGGGCTGTAAAGCACTATGGAGCGGTATATAAGTCTAAGTGCTACTGCTAGTATTATTCTGTGTTTATCCTTACCGTTATCAGTTGGTTCCTCTACTTCTTCTTCTGAATTATTCAGCCCTGGTTTATTTGGTGGGACAGAATTTGAAGCCCTTCTTGTCACCCAGAATCCTGCAGGAGCTGGAACTATCGGAGATGGGTTGCCTCGCTTCTGAGAAACAAGTCAGACTATTTATTAACATTCGTCCTTTCACCTTATGGCAAATATGCAGCACAGTTTCAGCATTTCCTTCTAACCCCAGCAATATGGAATATGTGCACTAGACTTCAATAGATATGAGACAGTCGGAAATACACAGCATGATTCTAAAAAGAGGTTTACGAAACAGCTTGCTAGTCTTTCCTAATTTGGAGATATATATATAATTAGAGCTTTTAGAATTTATTTTTAAAAACCGGTGCCTAGATAAGGGCAGAAAGGGCGAAAGCAAGCATTAAAAAAATCCTCACGTACAGAAACCTCATTTTCGGGTTTCTGACATAAGCAGAAAATCTCTTGTTTTGGCACTTTTGAAATCCCTAAATTCAATTTTATGGCAGCAGAAGTTGCCCTGAAGGTTTTATTATTGTTGTTATTATTTTCAAAATAAGATTTGCCAACACACGTTTACACCTTCAAGAGATACCGTTAAAGCAGCAATTCTGTTCCCTTTGTACAATTAACCCTTTTAAACAATTTTGTTGAGCGCCACTCTATTAATAAATGTTAATCCCATGAACAAAATTGAGAGCCTGAGGCTTTGCAATTATATTTCATCTGTGTAGATTGATCTTTTCCCATAATGAGGATTTAACCAAACTTGATTATTAAAGCCTGCTCGATTAATCTAGAGCCTGCTTGATTAATTCAAGGCTGTTTAATCCAGCACTATCGTAGGGGTTGACAACTTAAAGTTGGCAACTTTAAGACTTGTGAACTTTCCCCTTGATTTACGTTGCCCACCCGATCTTGCTGCCTACTTGTAAAAGATTTACTTTGGCACACTTTTCAAATTAATTCAGCTCAAGGACTTACGGGCAAAGCAGGAAAATTTGCGTCATCCCCTTCTTCAATCTCATAAAAAGTGATGGTTTCTTCCACACCTCGAGGCTCCTCCCCATTCTCAGGTGAAAATCCATACTGGCATTCTTTATTTACACACTGCATCTGTCTGCGACTACGGCTGTATGAACTACCGGAACGACCAATAGGTTAAAATGTCATGACCATCACCACCACCATTGTATATTCTAAGCCTAAAACAGGGATCTTCAAACTCGGCCCTTTTATGACTCATGGACTTCAACTCCCAGAATTCCTCAGCCAGGCATGCTGGCTGAGGAATTCTGGGAGTTGAAGTCCATGAGTCAAAAAAAGGGCCGAGTTTGAAGACCCCTGGTCTAAAACATTTGGAAGAAAATGCCTACAACTGCAGCTACAGGACTAACGGACATTTGTGCGCAATTGTTACCAGGCTGGCATTTTTCACAGCTAAGATTCACGTAATGTGGCCCTGGCCTGCTGCATCAACAAAGCAGCTGCTCGGAATCTGAAGTGGCCGGGATCTTGGGTTGTTCTGAAAAATGTCTTGGTTGGAAATGCTTTAACATTGCTCCAAAGGATACAGAAAGCTGCATCCCTGGAGCTGAAAAGCTTAGAGCAGGGGTCTTCAAACTTGGCAACTTTAAGACTTGTGGACTTCAACTCCCAGAATTCCTCAGCCAGCCTTGAGGAATTCTGGGAGTTGAAGTCCACACGTCTTAAAGTTGACAAGTTTGAAGACCCCTGCTTAGAGGAACTAGGACAACAGTAGAAAAGTATTTTTCCAGGTAGGAACTCACAGGTCCCAGCCCATGCATATAAAAACTGTTGTGAAACTTAGCTAGGGAAATAATTTCGTCTCCCAGTGGTTGGAGAAAGTTAACAGATAATCCACCTCAGTACAGATAGTCCTCGACTTACGATGACAGTTGGGCCCTCAATTTATGCTGTCAAGTGAGGAATCTGTTAAGTGAAATTTGTTAAGTGCAATTTGCCCCATTTTACAACTTTTTTAGCCACAGTTGTTAGGCCAATCCCTTCCAGTTGTTAAGTTAGTCACACCGTTGCTAAGAGAATCTGGTTTCCCCACTGATTTTGCTTGTCAGAATGTCACAAAGGGGGAATCCCGTGTCTCTGAGACATTGCGACCATCATCAATGCGAGTCGTCTGAATGTAAATCACGTGACCCTGGGGATACTACAACAGTCGTGTGAAAAATGGTCACAAGTCACTTTTTTCAGCGCTGTTGTAACTTTGGTCACTAAACTGTTGTACGTTGAGGACTACCTGTATAGGACAGGTTCAAAAATTTCTCCCAGTGTAGTCTTTTCACCAAGAGAAGGTCTGAAGTCAGCTGACCCCAAACGATAGCTGAGGAATAACATTTACTGCCTAGTGTCCTGGATTAGTGTACTGGATTACAACTATAAGGTTTTACACTGACCGCCTGAGTGTACTGGATTAAAACAATAGGGTTACAATTACTTACCGTGATCTATATGAGAAGTTATCATAGCTCTGATAACATCTCTTTCCTGGACTAGGATAAAATGCTATTTCTGGCCCAGTGATGTTGTTCCTGTTTATAAATCGGGCAGATCCCCTACATTTCAAAGGACAAAAAAGCAGAGTAACTACGAATTTAGAAGGCTCAAGGTGGACTCTTAACTAGCACCAGTCAAGTATCTGTGTTAACAGGTCCATGAGTGAAGAGGTTGCAAAGAAGTACAGGCTCAGCTATCGTTGGCAAGGTCCTGCCTTTCTCTTCCATCCAGCATGTTCCTGGAAGACATTTCCCTTCTCATCCAAGAAGCTTCTTCAGTTCTGGAGAAGTGAACTGAAGAACTGAAGAAGCTTCTTAGATGAGAAGCGAAACATCTTCAAGGAAAAACGAAGTCCAGTTGTCTGGTGAAAAAGCATCTTAGGGACAACCAGGACCTGGATGACTGAGAATCTCCATAGACATTTTTAATTGCATGTCAACTGTACTAAGTCTCACTTGAGTAAAAGTCAAGAACACCTTCAAGTCCACCTCGACTCCCAATGACTTGATAAGACAACCATCCACAGACGTGGGTGGTGTAGAGATTTAATAAATAAACAGGGCTTTCTTGGCAACAGTACAGAAAGTATTTGCTGGTGTTGCTGCCTTTGATATCTTTTCATCTTCCCAATTTTGTTTGCGGCTCTGGGGTTTCCTAGATGAGCTGACTTCTCACATCCTGGACATAAGCTGTTTCAACTTCTTCCCTCAAGGCAACGCTATAGGACATTGTGCGCCAAAACAGCTAAACACAAGGACAGTTTTTCCCCCATGCCATCATTCTGCTAAACAACAAACGCCCACAACACTGTCAAACTGCCTAGTAGGGCTGTATTACTATGATCCTTCTCATCCTTCCGATTACCTATTCCTTATCTTCTTATGACTATAACTTTGTTGCTTGTATCTTACAATTTATATTAATTATTTGGAATCCCGGTATGATTTATGTTGACTACTTATTTAGTATCCTATGACCATCTCTGAGTATTGTATCTTATGATTTATGATGAATGTATTTTATGATTATAATCACGATTTATCACTTGTTGCTTGTATGTACACTGAGAGATTCTACACTGGAGACAAATTCCTTCTGTGTTCGATCACATTTAGCCAATAAAGAATTCTATTCTATTCTATTCTATTCTATTCTATTCTATTCTATTCTATTCTATTCTATTCTATTCTATTCTATTCTATTCTATTCATTTCTGGGTTTATGAGTCCACTAAAAATCATCTGGTACTTCCCCTGTGTAAGGTCATATTAGTTGGGGAGGGGGAGAGAATGAGAGCACTTCATTTTCACTGTTTCTTTAAATTAAAAGTTCTCCCAGTCTGGACATAGCATTAATTTAGAGAATGCAGGTTTGGAAGAAGGGAGTGTATGAACCCAAATTACAAATGAATTAGGTGCATGAAATTATGGTTTAGCAGGCTAGCAAATCCCCTCTGCAAATTTAATCACCCTTCTGTTCATTAACACAGATAGTTCTCGCTTAACAAGAGTAATTGGAACCAGGATTGGTTGCAAAGTGTGACATCACGTGACCATAGGGAGGCTATGATGGACAGGACTTTGAGGAGAGCCCGTAAGCCTTTTCATTCAGTGCCGTCATAACTTGGTTGATGAACAAATGGCCATTAAGCAAGTATACGTAGTCCTCGACTTATAACCACAATGGAGCCCCAATTTTCTGTTGCTAAGTGAGACATTTGTTAAGTGAGTTTTGCCCCATTTTACGACCTTTCTTGCCACAAGTTGCTAACTGCAGTTGATAAGCTAGTAACCTGGTTGTTCCGTGAATCTGGCTTCCCCATTGGCTTTGCTTGTCAGAAGATCACAAAAAGGGATCATATGAACCTGGGGGCACTGCAACCTTCGTAAGTACATGCCAGTTGCTAAGCATCTGAAGTTTGACAAGCAACCATGGGGATGCTGCAAAGGTTGTCGTGGTGAAAAACGGTCCTAAGTCAGTTTTTTTCAGTGCCGTTGTTAACTTTGAACGGTCAACTTAATGAACTGTTGTTTAAGTCAAGGACCATCTGTACTACTGTATCCATACGTACGCTTCAGTTAAAATGTTCCTTTCTAGCCTGTGAGGGTGAGAATAAAGGCTGCAGAAACAGGGGACGGTGTTCAGAAGTTCCATGTAGCTCTGGGGATATTTTATGACACTACGATGCTCAAGTCAGCATGATGCTGATGGCCAAAATCAGCAGGGCCACCATCTCACTAGTTGCCTAGTGGTGAGGAATCGATTACAAGTCTCCTTACCTTGACGTTCCGTATCCCCGGCCGGTTCTCTGCGAATTCTGAAAATGGTAATGGTCGTATGGATTTACGTGTCCGTTTGGAGAGCAGTGGACCATATGTGCGTTGTGCTGCAGACGAGGAGGCAGGATAGGGTGGCCTCTGCTGTAAGCCACCGTCATGTACACTTCCTTTCCGTGTACTTTCTTGAACAGCTTCTTCCGTGTTTTTATATCCATATCTGGAAGAGAAGTTAAGAAGAGGAAGACAGGCTGAAGGGGGTGGCAGGATTACTATACAACTGGGTCAACATCTATGGAGGTTCTCTGTCATCCAGGTCATGGTTGTCCCAAAGGTGCTTTTTCAAATGGCAAGTGGACTTTCTTTGTTTTTCCTTGAAGACGTTTCGCTTCTCATCCAAGAAGCTTCTTCAATTCGGACTGAATGGTGGAGGATGGAAGGATTTGAGGCCACTTGGAGGTTTATCTGTGTCCTCAGGGTCACCTGAACAGTCAGAACCGAAGAAGCTTCTTGGATGAGAAGTGACATGTCTTCATGGAAAAACAAAGTCCAGTTGCCTTTTGAAAAAGCACCTTTGGGACAAATGGGTCAGCTTTCTTATTTTTGCAACTTTTTTTCTAGGTTATTTTTTGGGGGGGAATAAAATAGTGCTGGGGGCAGGAAGGGAAAAAATTAGAACGATTTTAGAAAAAGCTGCCGTGGAACAGTAAAAATGTTCTATTTTATTTAAAACTGGACTTGGAGAAGAGGGAGGAAAGGAAGCTTTAGCAGAAGGGGCCTCATATAAGAATCCAAGCAAGGTCCAATTGTACAATAAAATTAATACACGTTAAAAAGAGAGAGAGAGATCCCCTTATGAGGAATCGTTAAGTAAATTCACAAGATAAATATAAAACAGGCCCCTCCAGAGGTCAGGTGTTTTTTTTAAACAATGAGCTATGGAAACATAACAATACTCACTCTTTTCCTTGTTTTTTTTTTTAAAAAATCATCCATGTTTGGGGATATAGAACAGTACACCCAAGTAAACTACCACACATGGATAATATATTTCTGAATATCGATGATGTCTGCATTTTCTAACAAGTAGAGTTAGTTAATGAACCTATTTAGGTTTTCTATTTAGAAAATTCTTAAGAAAAGGTTGAAATGCTCCTGGTTGTTCTTAGTTGGTTACTAAAATGTCCCTCTCTCTCTTTGTGTGTGTGTGTGTGTGTATGTTTGTGTGTGTGTGTGTGTGTGTGTGTGTGTGTGAGAGAGAGAGAGAGAGAGAGAGAGAGAGAGAGAGAGAGAGAGAATATGAAGAATTAAGGAATTGGAATATATTTATATACAGTATAGGTTATTAGCTTTAATATAATCAACTACATACAAAACAGTGTCTTGCACAAAGTGTTGAAGTAAAAAAAAATCACATTATGTAGGCTATTGACCTTTAGTTAATTAAAATTGATCAGGTTTTACCCAGCTATTGCCATTATGTCTTTGAAGTAAACATTAATTTTTACTGTTTCACTACATTTTTTTTTCTGAAATATTTTTGTTCAAACAACACACAAGGAAGTCCAGTAAGAATTCATGGCAAACAAGATGTCTGAGGCAGCAGAGCAGACATGGGTGACCAGACAGCCAAGCCTCTCTGGATAAAGGAGAGATTGTGAGATCACCCATTTGCACTCTGTATTGGTGCTCCTCATGAGTAAACTGCAGGACCTGAGGTTTCTGCAGCCGACTCGTGAGTTAAGCGGCTGGGAGTTGAACGGTTTCCACCAAGGTCACAGTCACAATGTGGCCTTATGGACACAAAGTTCTGCCAAGCCTCATTTCTTAATCACTTTTGGAAATTGCTTATTAACTTTTAAACTATTAAGAACCTTTTAATTGAAAACTTTCATAACAAGTACTGGATGAGGTTTTTTTTAATCCTTATAGAAAAAAAGTGTTAAAGATAAGTTTAAGGACATTTAAAAAAACACCTCTTCTTTTGGAATCAAACAATATGGATTATTTGTGTGCCAGGTTCCAAAAACTCAAAACTCTCGCCTCTTTTAGCCTGTTCAAGATAACTCTTCAGATATAAGAGTAATTTAATAGATCTGCAGGATGGCAATTAGAGATTAAGTTTCACATCTTTGGGGAACGGAGACAGTGGGAATGCTCTTAGAAGGTACAAAAAAGCTGATATTTTAAGTGAAGTGTCTACTTATAGAAAATTGAGCATGCCCACTTCCGTACATTTAAAGTTATTAACAATGATAAATTCTTGAAGCAAGATTTGTTGCAGCAGGCCCTTAAGAGGTTGTGAACTTTAAATTTGTTTGCTTTTTGGACAGAGAAAACTTTTCAATTATACACCAGTAAAATATTTTGATTGTCTAAAAACATACTCCTTACAGGTTTTTTTTTACAGTTTAACACAGGAAAATGTCAGGGATTAAATATGCGTTCACCTAATGAAGGTTGATTTTAATATTCTTTCCTTTCTGAATGCTCACCTAGTTTTATGATTTTTTGTCGCTGTAACTTTATTGCAGTATCTATCCATGTTTAGATCAGTTTAACTTTACCTGGTTAAATCTGCATTAAGTCTGCATTTCACCAGGATGTTTCCAAACAGGAGAAACAAAATATTCTTTAAAAGTAACCTATTAAACATCTAGCTAGAATTCACATAAAGCGCCATAAACAGTAAATATTCCTTTAAGAGAGATGCTTAAATAATAAAAAGTTTTCAAAATTGATTCTCTTTAATTAATTAGCCAAACCAAGTGTTTTAAAATGATTAATTCAGGGATCAAGTTTGACTTCAGGTGGAATTTACCTTATAATTGCTTAAATATGGCAGTGATTAGTCCAGCAACTCAAAAAGCAAACAAACAAACAAAAAAGAATTACTAATAAGTTTGATCTACTGGATCTCACAAGTCAATTATTGATGACAGCAAAACAGAGGAATAAGATATTTGTTTAGGATTCACATTTTGGTGATCTCTTACTCAATCTGCTCTTGAGTGTTAACCTGAAGGGATTTGTTTAGACTTTTACAACACAGATACTATGCACGTATGTAGTAAAAGCACTTATAAAACACCATGTACAAGAGGAAATGGCACCTAAAACCATAGTTGGGAAGCAATTAGCCCAAATTAGCCCAAACATGAATATGGAATTCCTTGTCACAATGCATTTCAATTAATAAGGCAAGGTTGAGAAACATTGGCAAGGTTGAGAAACATTGTCAAAGAGAAATGAAGAATGGGAAAACGGATGACAAACTCATTTTCAGACAGAAGACGATGGTTTATACTACTATTGGAGCACTGTTGTAGGTTGCAAGCTTCGTTACTACTCCTATCCAACCATCCCATTACTGTCTTTACATATGGGTCTACCCACCTGGTATCTTCTGATAACTTCCTCCTTTTCTATTGGACATCACATTCCAGGCAGGAAGTGGATTGACTTGAGTCACAGGCTTCAAATTTACCAGTGGAACAAGGTGCCTACACATCATCCCAACCAGAAATAGTACAATCACAAAACAAACCTTAGAATCATAATGATATAAGACTTATGACATCTAAGATTAAAACCTACTGTTCCTTCCATGGCTACTTATCTTCAAGAGTCCCACACAAAGATGATCAAGTTTGCACAATGATACCAATCACTAATCTAAATTGACTCATGTCGCAATTAGAACTGAAATTAGTTTTAACTTTATTTAAGTTACTCAGGCAAAGTATAGAATCATAGGGCTGGGAGGGATCTTGGAGGTTTTCTAATGCAACCCCCTGCTTAATAGGAGATCCTATATCATTTCAGACACATAGTTGTCCAATCTCTTCTTTAAAACTTCCAGTGTTGGAGCATTCACAACTTCTGGAGATAAGCTGTTCCCCTGGTTAATTGTTCTCACTGTCAGGAAATTCCTCCTTAGTTCCAAGTTGTATCTCCCTTTGACAAACCTCCACCCATTGCTTCTCCCCTATTTCAGACTTTCAATAATTGGAGGACAGCTATCATGTCACCCCCAAGCCTTCTCTTCATTAGGCTATATACTAACTTAGGTAAAATAGCCTGAAGAAATGCCAGAACTGTCTTTATTATATACAAGCTGATAGCAGAAATAAGCCCATTTTCATCAAATTGTCAGAGAACTGTCAATTTCTCCTGATTGTATTTACTTACAGGTATTATTCTCTTAATAGGTTTCATATTGTCTTCTTTCGTAATACTATAACTTGTTGAGTTTCCAGAGAACTCAAACAAAAACGAAGAATCATCAAATATATTAAAGACTAATACATTTATTATCACAAAAGCTTCATGGACCACAAGACATTTGATCCACAAAAAAAGCAAATACAAGGAAAAGGTTTGTTTTAAAGGTTCCATAAGACTATGTTTTAATTTTTTTTAAGTGTCAAGGTTACGCCGGGACAAAAATGAAAGCTTTCATTTTCAACACACTTTTCCCTGGGAAATGAAATTAAAACCTTTTCATGTTAGAAAACTGTTGAACTGAATCCCCCATGTTGTAAAAGAATTAAACCCAGTCTGAGGAAACGATAGGGAAAGAGAGATGTCAGGTTTTGTATAGTATTAGTTATAACACTGTCAACATGATCTTGAAGTAGCACAGCTAAAATTCTGATACCGATAGCTCTTCCAATGAATACAGTTGTATGATTAAAAGGAAACAGATACATACTTTTCTGCCAGCTCTTCAATAAAGACGGTCACATAATTATCCTGTCCCACATCCTGTATATGGGCATTGTAATATTTTCCCCCAGTTTCTAGCCGTACCTGGGAAAAAGAAGACTCTAATTAAACCCAAAGGGATACTCAGAATAATTAGCACTTGAGTGTTTTTGCCAAGCAGCGCTGCCAAAAAGTTAAAATAGCCAGATTCAACTTTGGAACTGATCTGTTTCATTCTTGAAAGCAATTTCAGCCTGGCCTTGACTTCGATCCAACAAGCTCTGTAATCACTGTTTATAATCTGAAGTTCATTTATATTTTCTGCCCTGGATGTTTGCTACACCAGGTATTAAGGGTGTAAGAATCCGTATGTTATGAAATGGCTGGACTGCAAACTCTTAGATATGATTCATATTTAAAGAACTTAAGTTACTACATTTTAAAAAAAATGTGATGTATATGTATGTGTAAATCAATATGAGACATTATATGTAAATATGAGACAGTATATGTCAAGGGTCTTCAAACTTGGCCCTTTTATGACTTGTGGACTTCAACTCCCAGCCATGCTGGCTGAGGAATTCTGGGAGTTGAAGTCCACAAGTCATAAAAGGGCCAAGTTTGAAGACTCCTGGTGTATGTAAATCACCTTGCCTTGTTTTTTTGTGTCCTTGCCTTGTTTTCTACAAATACACACACACACACACACACACACAAACACACACGCTTTTGATACAAGCCAGAACTGTATTAGAAATACCTCTGGAAATAGTGTTAAGCACTAACATTATACAAGGTGAAAACAAAGTATTGCTGCCTCTTTCTCCTATACAGTCACAGAAACATTCCCTCCACAAAGTAGTACAATGTTGGGGATAATTCAAAACCCATTTATAAAGGAGGAGGAAGCGGCCCTGTCTCCCCTCAGAGATGCAATTTGCCTATCCTAGATGGTCAAAAGTGCTCATACTGTACCATTATTATTGGAAATGTAAATTTATGTTTCTTTTGAAATCTCACCAGAACTGGTAACAGGTTCATACTTAAACACCAGTGAGATCTGAGAAGATCTCAGTTAATGGGGCTCACCTAATTTGGGGTAAATGTTGTAAGAACATACAAGTCAAATAGAAGTTTATGTATCAAGATAAAGTCCATACATGGAATTTTTCTCAAAAACAAGAGGACAGAATTAGAAACCTCAATTATTCTTTGTTGTTGTTAGTTGCGAAGTTGTGTCCGACCCATCACGACCCCATGGACAATGTTCCTTCAGGCCTTCCTGTCCTCTACCATCTCTTCTCGAGTCCATTTAAGCTCACGCCTACTCCCTCCAGCCACCTCATTCTCTGTCGTCCCCTTCTTCTCTTGCCCTCCATCTTTCCCAGCATTAGGCTCTTCTCCAGTGAGTCCTTCCTTCTCATTAGGTGGCCAGAGTATTTGAGTTTCAACTTCAGGATCTGGCCTTCTAAAGAGCAGTCAGGGTTGATCTCTTCTAGGACTGACCGGTTTGAACGCCTTGCAGTCCAAGGGACTCGCAGGAGTCTTCTCCAGCACCATAGTTCAAAGGCCTCAATTCTTTGGTGCTCAACCTTTCTTATGGTCCAACTTTCTAGGGTCAGCGATATCAAGCTCATATTCCAGAATTAAGATTGTGGTATGGAACTTTCCACATAGAAAGCATAGCCTTATTATCTGAGCCATAGAAAGCTGGTTAACTCATATCAAAAACAATCAACTGTATAAGTTTTCAAGCTCAAGATTTTTTTTCCCCAGCAAGGACTCTTAAACTCCCCTGCTACCCATTTTAAAAACTTTTTTTGGGGGGGATCACAACCTTAAATATTAAAAAATACAGTTTGCTACACCAGGTATCAGGGTGTAAGAATCCGTATGTTATGAAATGGCTGGACTGCAAATCTCTTAGATATAATTAATATTTAAAGAACTTAAATTATTAAAATTGCCAGTGCATAACTGGGTCTCTGTAAAATTAGGTCAGAATTCTGAGAGGAAAAAATTGGTCCCATCTGGATGAAGGATCTGGGATTCATTGGAAAAAGGCTCTTAGTTAACTCCTGCCATCATTACCATTGGTAAATAAAACTAAAAAAAATCTTTCTGATTGTGAAGGCCTATCTCTGGAACTCTGGAACCCAGACATTCAAGCTGGCCCTCTGTCTGATGACATTGTGTCATATTGATAAAAATGTTTTAATTTCACTAACTCTTCTTGGATTTTAACCCCCTTTTTGCTTCACTTTGAGCTGTTCCTTCTTTGAATCAACCACACCAGCTACTTTAGCTTTTAGTTATCCAGAAAGATGGGGTATTATTTAAAAAAAAATCTTTAAATGACTTGCTAGAGTAACCACCCCATGTTTACTCTAGTAAGTCGTGATAAGGGATGCAATGACACCTTTCCATTTTTCCAACAAGCCGTAAAGGGTCCATCAAGTTAAATGTAGTAAAGACATTACTGCCCAACATACATCTGCAAGAGTTGGTAATCATCAAAGTGGAAAATTGGGGATAAAACGGTGCAGCGACGGCCAAGTCACTGGAATTATGAAGAGGAGACCTCAACAAAACCTCAATTTAACTGAGGTCTTCTTATACAACAAGGAAGCTTAGAAAACCGACTGAAGGCTACTCCTACTTCTGTCAGAGCATTTTAAAATGAGGCACCCAGGTCAGGATCTTTGTTCTTTAATAAACCAGGAAAATGTGTTCTGCTGATTGCAAACCATTTTAAAGAATCTTTCACAATGACCAAACACCCCTTTTGCATTCAGTAAGCTTAATTAGGGCATATCAAGAGTTGCTTCAAACAATTATCTTTCCTAAATAAACACAAAACAGGTACCTGACATTTGTCTCCTAAATAGTACTGTCTTCCAGCAAACACCAAGTAATCTGTTTTTTGAAGTTCTACAAAGGAAGATCAAAAGAAAACTTAAGCTATTTATCAAGCATTCATGGATATTAATCTGATGTTAGAGGTCTTCGCTTGGAAAAAAAATATTATGTAACTGGCTTATTTTCCCGATATTAGCTGCAGCTGGCAAGGACATTATGCATACCATAGACAATGAATATTATGTCTGTATAGCCTTCTCCAGTGCAGAAGTCTTCACATGCTGCCTAGGGCAGGGGTCTTCAAATTTGGCCCTTTTATGACTTGTGGACTTCAGTTCCCAGAATTCCTCAGCCAGCGTGGGAGTTCTGGAAGTTGAAGTCCACAAGTCATAAAAGGGCCAAGTTTGAAGACCCTTGGCCTAGGGATTCATGTCCAACAATGGGGGGGGACAGTAAATGAGAAGGCTGCACAGATACTCCTTGCTTAGTTACAATTGGGACCAGCAACTTGGTTGTTAAATGAAGCGGTCACTACAGAAAATCATGACTCTGCTTGTGAGTTGACTTCAGCCTGCCTTTTGTTCGACAGACCTGTGAAGGTCATAAATTAGAGAACTAGTGGCAGTGACTTTTTTTATTATCACCGTTGTAACTGCAAACTGCCACTCAACAAGGCAGTCCCTATACACGGACTCTTTGTACAACAAATAGAGGAGCTAATACAGACAGGATGAAATTATTCATAGGTTAGTGTGAACGTCATAATTAAAACATCTAAGCTTCATTCCCACTTAGTTTTTTTTCAGTTAGATCAGGGGTCTCCAAACTTGGCAACTTTTAAGACTTGTGGACTTCAACTCCCAGAATTCCTCAGCCAGCCAGAGCTGGCTGAAGAATTCTGGGAGCTGAAGTCCACAAGTCTTAAAGTTGCCAAGTTTGAAGACCCCTGGATTAGCCAGTGGAACAATCTGCCTCCAGAAGCGGTGAATGCTCCAGCACTGGAAGTTTTTAAGAAGAGACTGGACAGCTATTTGTCTGAAATGGTGAAGGGCAGTGATGGCGAACCTTTTAGAGACCGAGTGCCCAAAAACTGGCCCCGGCCCCGCTCTGCCCCCCATCCCCCACCCCGTCTGCCCACAGGACCACTCATCACCTCCAGGGTCCTCCGCATATCGCCCAGGCAGCCCAGCAGCGCTATGGCAGCCACACCCTCTGTCCGCGCCCTGCAGCATCAACTGCATGATGGGGTGTGAGGGCAGAGTCTTGTCTACGCTGCCTGGCTGCCATGTCCTTGGCTGCGCTGTTCTGTGTGGGCCATGCTCGGGGGCGACTCTCCTTCAGGGGGGCTGTTGGAAAGGAGGGGTTGCAGGGGGAGGCAAGGCTGGGGCAACGGCACATGCGCCCACAGAGAGGGCTCCGAGTGCTGCCTCTGGCACCCATGCCATAGATTCGCCACCACTGGTGTAGGGTTTTCTGCCTGAGCAAGGCGTTGGACTAGATGACCTCCAAGATCCCTTCTAACTTTATTGTTATTGTTATTGTTATTTTTACTACTACTACTACTAGTACTACTATTACTACTACTACTACCTTTTCTGCTCTCCAGCCAAACATCAAACTCTATGTTCCGATAGATCTCAGGGTCCAGGGCTTTCAATACTTTGTAGGGAAAGGGCATCCTTTGGTTGTCAGAAGGCTGTGAAGTTGAAGAGGAACAGATTAGAAGAGCTGCTGTCTACAATTGCCATCTCACCCTGCCGTCTGTAAAAGAAATGCTCAAATCGATCTACTAGTTTACACTTTGCACCACTAGATGCACCCCTTTGCATCTACTAGTTTACACTTTGCTCCTACTTTTTGATGTTTATCTCCTAATTAGCACGTGCAAGTTGAACATCACTTGTTCTCGGCTGAGCAACGGCCCAAGAACATGGCAAGTTCAACTTGCACGTGCCAATTAGGAGATAAACATCAAGTAGTAAAACAGCAACAGTGCAATAAAGAAACTTGAACCACTGATTAGGGATTTTTACACACTTCACTAATCACTGAGGCTGGGAGACAAGCTAATTTAATTTAATTATTTTAATTTAAAATAACTTAGAGCTTGTTCCAATCCTGGAGACAAAGCGTAAAGCAGTTCTCTCCTCTTGGGAATTCTGTTTATAAGTAGATAGCCAATGACCAAAAAGGACATAGTTTGTTAATGTTAAACAGTCCTAGGCTAAACTACATTCAGTATTAACCACAGGTACAAGATTTAGCAATAGCACTTAGACTTATACACCGCTTTCACAGTGCTTTATAACCCTCTCTAAGCGGTTTACAGAGTCAGCCTGTTACCCCCAACAATCTGGGTCCTCCTTTTACCGGCCTCGGAAGGATGGAAGGCTGAGTCAACCTTGAGCTGGTGAGACTCGAACTGTCGAACTGCTGGCAGCTGGCAGTCAGCAGAATTAGCCTGCAGTACTGCATTCTAACCACTGTGCCACCACAGCTCTAATTTACACTTAGGTTTCACGCATACAAGCAGCAAACCACATCAGTTCCTAATTGGCTAGTCCCACTTTCATTTTTTGTTGCCATTTTGCACTTATCTTCCACAGAGGAGAAGAATATCATATGTGCATGGTAACCTGATAAGAGTCCTTTTCCAAAAAAATAATCCCCCACACCAGGCAGGCAGGAAGCAGGAAAATAAGAGTAGATCAACTTTGATTTCCCAATCCTGGATTCTGCCTCATTTTCCTGAAGGATTGCTTAATCATAAGACAGCCATTACTTTGAGTTTAGGCCAGGGGTAGGCAACCTTGGCTCTTTTATGACTCGTGGACTACAACTCCCAGAATTCCTGAGCCAGCATGGCTGGCTCAGGAATACTGGGAGTTGAAGTCAGTGAGTCATAAAAGAGCCAAGGTTGCCTACCCCTGGTTTAGGCAAACAGCAGAGAAACCCAACACTTACAGTATCTGGGTTTAGATAAACTACATTACGGGTTTGCATCCTCCTTATTTTGAACGGTGCAAAGTCATGTTATAGTTCAGGGGTCTCCAACCTTGGCAACTTTAAGATTTGTAGACTTTACCTCCCAGAATTCATGCTGGCTGAGGAATTCTGGGAGTTGAAGTCCACAATTCTTAAAGTTGCCACGGTTGGAAAGTCCTGTTAGACAGGTAGTCTTCAATTTACAACAGTTCATATTTAGTGACTATTCCAAGTTACAACAGCACTGAAAAAAGTGACCTATGCCCATTTTTCACACTTATGACCTTTGCCGCATCCCCACGGTCATGTGGTTTACATTCGGACGCTTGGCAGCTGACTCACATTTATGATGGTTGCACTATTGCAGAGTCATGTGATCCCTTTTGCAACCTTCTGGAAAGCAAACTCAATGGGGAAAACCAGATTCACTTAACTGGGTTACTAATTTAAGGGCATGCACTGAACAAAATGTATCGAGAAGAGTTATAAAATGGGGCAAAGCTCACTTAACAATTTTTTTTACTTAGCAACATAAATTTTGGGCTCAACTGTGGTTCTAATTTGAAGTCCACCTGTAATTAGTTCAAGTCCAGACAACTAAAAGCAATTTAATGCAAAGTAGTAAAAAGCTAGAGAAGGAATCTGTAATTATTTGTTCTATCAAAAGAAGTAATGGAGTTGAAAAACACTACACACAGAGAAAGGGGGGGACATGACAAAGGAGGCTTCTTTTAAAAAAAAACAAAAAAACAAAACCTCTTTAGAACAGGAAAAGCTCAAGAACAGAATATTTAAACACCACATTCAGGTAGAACAGCTCCAGAAAGCCAGCAGTACGTTAATGACACCTTAAGCGTAGTTTTCCAAGATGTTATTTTCTCAGCCCTTGTACCTGCCTCCCCTGAAGCCGAATTTAAACATTTTAGACATGCAAGTGTTTAACCACAGCAGTGTAGCATCAGAAGAAGAGGCAACATTAAAAGGATGACGATGTGAAACTGTGCTTCCTGCTACATATATGCCTGCATATATACTATATAGTTGCTTGCATACATGGATCTCCTTGTCTGAAAATTGTCGAACCTTTCCTTCCTCTGTGACTTGCTTGCATTTTTCCTCCGCTGGGTGGACCGAATCAAAGCTTACCCAGTCTTCCAACCTAAACAATTAAAGACACATTGGATCAAAAGAAAGAAAGAAAGAAAGAAAAAAAAGCGTGTCTATCCATCGCTGTCCAGTGCTGAAACTGAGAAGCAGGAAAAGCAAAATACAGCAGCATTGTGGTGCCACCCAGTGTTGAATGATCTGGGAAGCACCTACAATTTTTAGAACTTGACCTACAAAAACAACTCGATGACAGCAGCTTTGCATGCCCCACGGGAGAGTTTCCATCTGTGGGAGGCTGCAAGGAGGCTAAGAAAGGAAGGGGAAGCAGCCATCAACCATCGAGAGACAGAAACAAAATCAGCTGACAGCTTATTTCATAAAAAGCAACTCAGCCCAGGAGGTGAACAAGCTAGGAAGATGACCTGAATGAAGTCACTATAAATGAGTTTGGGAAATTTCTCTTGCAGGTTCTAAGATTCCATAGCTAACCTAAGATTAGCATTCAAGATACTATTCTGAAGTCTGTATAGTTCTGGCTTTCTTAATCTGGGCTTGTTGGCTTGGGTTGACATCATCCGATACATCTAGATACATTCCAGATAGTGCTTTCACCTAGTGCTCCCTCTAAATTTGTTAAGCAGCAGCTTCCAGAATTCATCGGCAAAATTAATTTTGGCCAACTACTGAAGAAGACTGCTGGATTGGGACAACCAGTTGTGCTAAAGATAGCAATGGTGTTGACCATCAGCCCTCTTAGACATGCAATGTTAAGATGCCCTGGAACATCATCTCATCTACATGTTAACTGTAATTCTTTAATTTTCAAAGCGTACCTCCTTTCTGGAGCATTTCTGGATGCCCTGTCAGGAAGGCAATCAAAATTTGCATCTTCGCTGCCGACAGATGCACTGTTTCTGTTTTTCTTAGCCCCATTTCGAAACATCTCAAGGGCGATTTTCAATTCTTCTTCATCCACTTTGAAGACATTTTTGTACAGAGTTTCGTAAAGGACAGCTAGGCAAATAAAGGGTTGCATCTTTATAAACAGTTTATAAGCTGGAACACACTTTTGAACACAATATTTTTTCTCCAATTGCTACTTATGGCTGCGAAATGTAGACTCTGAAAAAGGCAGATAGGAGAAGGGTAGGATGCCTTTAAACTGTGGTGCTGGAGGTGTCTATTACACATCCCATGGACAGAAAAAATAAAAAAATCCTAGACCGAACCTCACCAAAAATATCACTTGAAGTCAAGATAGCCAAACAGAGGCTGTCATACTTCGGCCATGTCATGAGAGCTGACTTGCTCAAAAAGGCAATCATGCTGGGAGTGATCAGCAGAAAAAGGAGAAGGGGCCAACTTAATATCCACTGGCTGGACACTATAAAGGATGACACCCGGATGACCATGGCGCATCTGAAGGAGGAGCTGCGAGACAGAGAGGGATGGAGATTGCTGGTCCATAGAGTGTCCAAGGGTCAAACACAACTAAATGGAGGATAACAACAACACACTTTTTAAAATAGGGGATTTCTGGGAAGTTCTTAACATCTTACACAGGATAGATTTATTATTATGCTACTTAAAACAGAGTGGTGGGATAGAAAAGGCTGTGTTTTATTTACCCTGACAGATTGCAGCACTGGTTTGAAATTGTTTGGTATACACAGAATCATAATGACCATTACTGGAACAGCACAGTAGAATCTGAAAGGAAAAAAATCTGAGTTTAAAAATAATGCTGGGAATCCGAAAACATGTGTAGTTTTGATCACCACATAGAGGAGCAGTCAGAATGCTTCCCCCGTTGATAGAAGTTAAATGTCATTCATAGATTAAATGCAAAAATGATTTACATACAAGTAAAAAGGGTGCTTTTAAAATTAATGTCTACGTATAAAAGAAAAGCATAATGTACGATAGTTCTTATGAGATTATATTTATGAAGCATGTTTTGCAAACACTATTGTTTTGTGTCGTAAATTGATTTGTACGATTGTAAATGTATCCAGTTATATATCACAAGGAGAGAGCTGTCCAATTAATCAGGACACCATTAATCTATTAACTCTTTCTAAATGCCCTACTTTACTTATTTGGGTATGATAAAGGTATGGTATTAAGGGGATAGCATATTTTTTTAATATTCATACATCTTAGAATGAGATTATCCTGTAGGATCCTGTTTGACTACACTGGTCTTGTAACACAGGTGCAAATAAAATTAAAGGGATGGCATATACTTTACACTTCCACTATCAATGTGATGCTGTGAAATGAATCATATAAATCTTTTACAGTTCATGAAATGTCTCCCTTCAAGTATGTTTCAAGGATTTCAGGAGTGGGAAATTAACAAAAAGTTTTATACTTTCCTAATAGCCGAAGTGATTTTGTACTGTACTTGAGGAAGCTAGAAACAAGACTTCTGCACATCACCTAACACAGGGGTCTTCAAACTTGGCCCTTTTATGACTTGTGGACTTCAGCTCCCAGAATTCCTTAGCCAGGCACGCTGGCTGAGGAATTCTGGGAGTTGAAGTCCACAAGTCATAAAAGGGCCAGGTTTTAAGACTCCTGACC